ATTCTACCTTAACTATCTGTTTAACAATAAAGCATATTGCTGACATCTTAATTCTTGTAGAAGTTAATGAGCAAGTGCTAATTTCTGAAGTTGCTGATTCTCTTTTCCTGAGTTCCCTGAGTTCCGTAGTTTGCAACCAGATATTGTTTTGAATGAAGACTTAGCAGCAGCAGCATTAGGCCGAGAATTTGTTGCTAACTTCACCTTATGTCCACTTTAGATAATGCAAAGGGACTTCAGGGGGCTTGGAAACTCCATACATTGTTGAAAATCAAACCAAGAGATACTTAGAACAGCTTTACATGGAGTTTTTCTGTGGTGAAAATCTTGGCCTGTGAGTACCATGAGATCTAAAGTGATTTTGTAGCTCTTGAAATATGGAAGAGAAGTCAGCTTGATGAAAAATTTTGGTTTTCATCTTTAACAGTCAACATCTTTAACGGTGTGTGCTTTATGCAGAGAGTTTTGATTCATGGATTTTCCTAATTTTTAAGAAACCCTTTGCTCCAATATGTCTTGGGTTGCTACTCTGGATCTAGAATTGTGCTTGCTCTGTGGCAATGAATAAGGTAGTGAATCATAGTTGCTGACAGGTGATTCTGCTGCAGTTTGTTGTAGATCACACCTTGAGAAACATTAAAATGGAGAAAACAGACTTACAAAGGGACAAATTGTGAGGCTGCCTATTAAGTGCTAAAGATTCTGGAGAGGAAACGTAATGAACATGTGCCCAACAAGGTCTCTATCAAGGAGTACAGGAGCATTCTGGGAGATGATCACACAGGCAGACAAGTGTCATGGTCTGTGGTTTTCTACAGATAGTTGGTGGCCACTTACCAGTTTCTTCATCATTCTATAGTTGAAATAGTTACACAGTCAATAGTGCACTCTCTTATGGAATGGATGATTGAACTTGATCCCCAGAGTTACATCAAGACAAACAAGAAAAAGAAGTCTGTTTGTTATTAATAGAACATGCAGAGTAGAATGGAAGTTTCTGATTGGGTCTCGGTAGTGGACTCTTACAAGTTATGTGTTCTTTCTACTCCACAGTCTCTTTGCTTTTCTTAGTTTATTTGTAATGTTTTCTTAGTTTTTATTGGTTTTCTTAGTTTCTTTATAATGTTTGCTCCCCCCAAAGTAACAGTTTGCCAAACCATGCCCATTATCTCTTAGGTGGGTCTTTCTATATAGCAGGTGTTTTATAAATGCTTTATGTGCTTTTGCACAAAAATTCTGGGAGTTATTAGATATAATGAACAAATAAAGTAACTAAATCTAAGAGACATTAAGGTTTACGGGTTTTTCTCACTGTCCAAAAGTAGAATGTTAATTTTTGGTATAATTGTAGATTAGTTTGGGAGTCTGAAAACACTAAGATTTGTTTCTATATAAATTAATGTTATATAGATTAATTAATTAGATGATATAACTAATAGACATTATCCTGGGGAGCTGGGGGAAAAGCCCAGGTTTTCTACTCGGTTTTCAAGATCCTGCTCTTAGCTACCATGCTATAACTGTATGCATGTAGGCATGGCACACAAATGCACACACAATTGTATATATAGCCATATGTAGCAATAAGTATATAGCCATGTAGTCCTATGTGTAATCTGTGTGTGTTTATTCCCTGCTATATGTATTGTGGGACTCAATATTACTCCTGTAACTTTTCTTTCAGTTTCAGCTGCTACTTCCAATTCTGTTTCTCTTGGTATTTCATAACTTTTCAAGATTGAAAACTTGCTTGACCCAGTTTAACTCTTGGATGACAGCACCAATCTTGGCTTGACTGCTGTAAGTCTACAGCTCCTGGAAGTCATATGCCCACCCTGGTCCAATCACCACCCTCTAGGAAATGCTCGAATAGTGCTGAGTAGGGATTGATGATAGGGCAATTTTACTTTTTTTGGTACATTAGAGATAAAGTAGTTTCTTAGACAAGTGTTTATTGGTCAGTTATGTACTAGTATATACACATGTGTGTAAACATTTTCTCTGACACCAGACTAGTAGCTCAGAGCTTGCCATTTGGTGTTTGAAGACATGGGTTTGTGCACTGCAACACCATCTAAATGTTGTTTTACTTTGGGCAAATGGCTATTTCTCTGAGACTTTACCCCACTGTTGACATAGGAAAAATCCTACAATTTTTTTCCAAGACTGAAAATCTACCAGACAAATGCTAGAGCTTCAGCCTGAGTTACCATCTTGGGAATTTACTGGCAATCTAAAAGCATTTCATAAGGAAGGTGTTCTGTTAAATATATATTCCAGGACCCAGCCCAACTCCAGAGATTCTGCTTCAGTAGACTGGGCATGCAGCATGCAGATTTGCAGTTTATTGAGAGTGCCCCAGGGCAGACCAAAGGAGAGGCATTAGGTGGTTAAAGCAGCACTTTCAAATGGGTAATCACAACGTGGCTTGTTAAATGCTGGGACTTAAAGTTCTGAGGGAAGAAACAAGAGCTTTGGAGTACCGAAGGAAGATCAATAAAATCTATGGGGGGTGGTGTCAGAGGGGCTTCAAAAAGATGTGTCAGCTGAAGAGGGACTTGCCAGGTGGAGAGGAGAAGGCTTTCAAGAGGGCCGCAAAGGTGTTTTCTTCAGGTGGTGAGGATTGAGATGGGGGAGGGGTAGAGGATATAATAGCTCCAATAAAGGCAGAAAAGCAGACAGCCTGGAACACAAAGTGGCTTGTCGTGTTAGGTTTATTTTTCTGTAATGGATAGTCAGAAATATTTAGGTTATTTAGTGACAAGTTCAGATTTTATTTCTAAAAAGAATTTTGACTTCAGTGTAAAGAAGAGAGTAAAAGGAATGAGATTAACTGCAGGGAGGCTTGAGAACTGGTGGTTATAAAGCAGATGAGCTGGATGAGGAGCTTGAGTCAGCCAGTGAACTACAGAGCGCAGGAGACAGATGAGAGACATACAGGGAATGAGTGTAGCCAGTGTGATACCTAGCTTGGGGAGGGGGTGACAGATTTAGGGGCAGAGTGGAGAAAGAAGGAATGCGTTTTAGTTCCCCTTTATATAAAGGAGAGAGGCCAGTAAAGAGTCAGTTTTCCAACTCAAAGAGGAGGCTGAGCTTTGTTTACAGGTTTATAAAACTTCCGTCTTGGTGATAATTGAAGACATGAGTGTGTAAGAGAGTTCTCGAAAATAACCTTAGAGAAGAAAAAGAGGACGTAGAATTAAAATCTCAAGACACAGGTTCATAAAAACTATTAATGTACAAAAGATGGTCAAAGAAGAAGCCATTTTGAGGGGGTTTCAGAAGGATAGCTTAGAAATATAAGACAACTTTAGTGATGAAAACTTTGAAGAATCCGATATAAAAAATTGTTAGTCACCATTATTATTTTTGTTCTGTTTAAAACACTACATAGATTATTTAAGATTAGCTATCACATGCTAAGAGACAAAATAAAACCAGTACATATAGGATCATCTCTCTACCAAGTGTAGATTCTGGGAGCAGAAAACAGGTAGACTTTAAAAATAATAATTCCAGAACCATTTTTTAAACAAGATTTCTTTCTTTATGCCTACAAGAACTGGGGTCTAGGCCAGAGGAGCTGGGAGGTGAGGATTCACCAGAGACAGAGTGGGGAGCAGAAAAGGCATTTGTACTGAAATACACTGCTGAGGGGAGCAGCGGGTTTTACAGAACCTACTGTATACTTAGTACTAAGCTAAATGGGTGTGATGGACAAGTCCCTACCCTCAACAAGCTTACCTCAGATCCAGTTTCTGTGAGCCATGCCAAGCAAACATCCTGATGGTTCTCTGCAAGAGTCCTGTGTGACTGTCCCAAGAGCCGTCAGAGTAAGAAAATGAAAAATATCACATAGCAGAGACAACACCGACGGGGAGTTGAGAATAGAGCTGAAAACAATGTGGCAAAATGGGTGATGGAACGTTTTCAGGAGATGAGTTTTTAATACAATATAGTCGACATAAGACAGAAGGTTTTGTGGTGAAGAAAAAGAGCTCTAAATCCAGGTTCTGCGAGCTGGCCCCCGGCAGTTCCTCATTTTTTCTGAGCAAGGTTCTGTTCCTAGGAAGCTGCAAGCAGCAACCTCACAGGCTGGGAAGAATGGCGGCCTTGCCGCCGCCCCTCCCCGCTCCTCCACCATCCGCTAGTTCCAGGTGCTTCCAACAGGTGATTTCTCAGAGAACCTGGGCGAGGAGTCTGTAGCCGCAGGAAGGTTAAGCTTGTCTCCTTGTGCTCGGGAGACGAGGATGTGCGGGGTGAACTCTGGTTCAGTGGTTTGTGTGGGCTTTTGCCTTTTGTTTTTGTTTTGATGGGATCAGATGGTTCATTTCCAAAGAGACAGAATGAACTGTGTCGTATTTAAGAGTAAAAGCCTTGGAGTCAGACTTGTGCTTATATTCTGGATCTGCTCTTATCCCCTGGGTGACCTTCGACAATTTATTCCGTCTCTCTAAGCCTCAGTCTTTGTTACCTAAAAATTGGGGATAAAGATACGTACCTCATAGGGATATGGTGGGGATTAAAGGATAATGTACACAAACCCCAGAGCCTGGTGCCGGGCACAGAGTAACTGGTTTAAAAAAAAAATGTTGTTCCAACGAATGCAATTGTTATTAGTAACCACGAGGAAAAGCAGTGGACGTACAAACGGCTCTCCCTCCTTCCCAAATCTCTGCCGGGCAGAAAGCCAGCGTCCTAAAACTTAAAGGGACTTTACAGGGGTGAAACCCAGATCGGTGGGATTCTGGGGCGCCTGGCGTAGGCGGCGGCTGGGAGAGCCTGGTGGGTTGGTGTTCCTGGGAACCAGAAGGTCGAAGTGACCCCACCCTGGCTGGGCTGGTACCGGAGAAACGATCTGCTCTTCGGCCCCAGCTTCTCGGGGGCCGGGGGATGGGGGGCGGCTCTGAGGCGGGAGCGAGGGAAAGAGGAGGGGCGACCGGGGGAATTTCCCCGCCTCTCTCCCTCGTTCCATAAATCACCGCAGCTGCGGCGGCGGCGGCGGTGGAGCCGGGAAGTGCACGGAGCCGGGGCGCAGCGTGGTGGCACCAGACACCTCCCTTTCCCCCGCCGCTTTCTTTCTTCAGTTTTTTTTTTTTTTTCTTTCCCCACCTCCCCGTCTCCCTCCTCGCTCGGGTTGCTGCTCCAGCCTCTCAGTCGGGTCGCTGATCCTCGGCGGGTGCCGCCTTCGCTCCCGCCTTCGCCTCCTAGCAGCGCCCGGACTCTCGAAGCGAAAGCTTGTCTGCCCGCGGCTCAGACTGTCAGCTCTGCGGCCGCGCGGCCGGAGCGCGGGGTGTGGGCGCCGCCGCTTTCCGAGACGCCCGCCGCACGGCGCCGCGGGGGCAGCACCGGCGCCTGGGTCCTGGGGACCGCTTGGGCGGCTGCTTCCTCTCCCGCCTGCCTCCAGAGCCCGGCGATGGTGGCCGCCCGCGCTCCCGCGCTGTAGCCGGGCGCCCCCTAAGTTTGGGAGCCGCCGCTGCCGCTGCGCGCGAAGGCGTCTACTGAGAAGGAAGAAAGTTTTGCGGGGTGCGCCGAGCGGGCCCTGGGCACACCTCCGTTCGTTCCCTCCCCGCTTCCCGGCGCCTGGAGCCCGTTGGCGGGGAGTGGGGGGAGGCCGCATGGCTCGCGAGTCGGAGGAAGAGGAGACGGCGGGGGCGGCCGCCCTGGCTGGTTTCTGCCGGGGCTCGCCCGACCGGGCCGGGGCCGGGGCCGGGGCGCGGCGGCCGCCCCTGTGGCTGCTCTTCCTGGTAGCGTGTTGGCTTCTGGGGGCCGTGGCCGACGCGGACTTCTCCATCCTGGACGAGGCGCAAGTGCTGGCAAGCCAGATGCGGAGACTGGCGGCTGAGGAGCTGGGGGTTGTCACCATGCAGGTAAGTGACTCCCACTTCGCGCTCCGGAATTTGCCAGGCATCTTGACTTTCCTTTTTGCGCGGAGTCGGGTCTCATTCTCCTGTACCAATCCTCGTGACGGTGTAACGACTACTCTGAGGAGCACTGGCCCTTCTAGACGACACCCCAACTCCTCTTCACGCCCTGAGGCTCCCCTCCCTTTCTCCTGCAGAATTCCTTGCCCCTTGCACGCAACCCTTTCCTCGTGCGCGCACACACACACACACAGGCGCACACACACACCATGATCTTTTATCTGGGCAGGGATTCTCCAATTTCTCCTGCACATATTTCTCTTGAAGACTTTTTCCCTCCCCGCCACCCTTGCAAACTCCGCTTCCTTCTTTGTGTACCCATACCGGGGAAGCCAGATGACCTGGAGGGGACAATTTTCTGAGGTCTCCACCCCAGCCCCGGACACACTTCCTCGCGTCCCTCCGGCCGTGGCGCACTGCACAGGACAGCGCGATGCTAGACGCGGGGAGGGAAGGCACCACTGGCGTGCGCAGCTGCCCCTAGGCCACCTGAGTCCGGGCAGAGTGTGGACTGCGCTTCTCTCTGCCCGGCTGTTGTGGGAGAGGCTGGCCTGGTAGATTCCTAGTAAATTCCCGACTGCTGTGCTGTTTGAGGGACTTTTTTTGTTGTTATTTTCCTCTGTTACTGCTGTCGGTTGCATGCTGTCAGCAACCTGATGTTTGTATTGTGTGTGGGGGAGGAATAGGGGGCACACGGGAGGAGAAAAGGGAACATAGTGTATATAAGGGCCCCATCTAGCTTGTTTCTTCCCCTAGGCGAGGTAGGGACTTAGGAGAGATCGACTGCGACTGATGGATGTCCTGGAGATGTTGCTAATAACCAAAAGTAGTAAGAATTGCTCAATAACAACCACCAGATGAGTCTACCCAGCCTTATTTTAATCTGCTTGATCGTAAAGGTCCACTATTAGGCGAGTTTAAGGTGACATTCAGAATTGAAGCCTATAGTATAACATTCTTACATAAAATAACCCCATTCTTTCAGGCATGCTAACAACAGTAAAGGTGACGAATGCAGTCTTGGAAAGAGCGAAGTTTCCAGGAACGTATTCTTTAAATGGGTTTCTGATTCCAATTCTAATGTGACCACCCTTCCACCTCCCGCTGGCAGAGATGTTTTGAGTCTGGGATTCAAGTTTCCGCGTCTTTTTTTTTTTTTTTTCTTTTTTTAACCTCACTCCATAGCACACCCCCACCCCTTTTACTCTTAACCCAGAGGAAATAGATTTCCTGGAGTCAGTTTTTCAAAGCTTTTCCAATGTGATAAAAATATCATTGGGATGAGGAATGAGATGGTTTGCTTGAAAATGTAATTGTGTGTTTATTTGCAGACACTGGTCCTGAAGTGCCTAGTGTCAGATTTTTCTTCCTTTGCATAATAGACAACCTTTTAAAATACATCATTTAACTGTCCTGTGCAGATCTTTTGGGTTTATATTCAATTATAGTTTTTCCCATATGCATGATTGCTGACAGAGTTTAGTCTTGAAGTAACTCTTAGAGGAAATGGAGCTAAATGGCAGAGAAAAAATGAGAATTTCCCACAAATACTGGTGAATGTTTCAGTTAATGGTATTTTTGCTTAGAGACAATTCTTTTAATAAAGGAGATAAATATAGTGCAATTTGGTACTATCTGATAGGTCATTTTCACCCCAGGTTTTTTTCCCCTTGTGTGGGTGAAGCTAAGGACTTGCTTTCCCTAAGATGCTGACAGCAATTTTACTGTTTCTCACTCAGTCTACGACAAAAGGTGAAATCGGATCCCAACACATTGTCATTCAGGTAGAGATCCAAAGCAAATGTAGTTTTAAAAGGCTTCCCGGTTGAAAAGGAGACACTTTAGAAAAAAGCTCTGGTCAGTGGGGGGTTTGTGCCCAAATGGCCCTTTATCTCCTCCCCACTGGCCTCTTTCTAACACCTTTGCAACCTCATTGTGGAAACTGACCTCCTGGGGACAGGGTTTTTTGTCTGGCAAAATGTGAAGTGGTTTCTCTCTGCTTTTTAAAAGGAAAAGCACATACTGTATTTAAATTCCTCTTCTGGAGCTATACATTGATCTGCCACTCCATCTGGAGAAATTGGGGAGAGTTGCTTTAATTTTGTTAGACTGCTGGCTTTTTTGAGGGAATACTTGTAAAAATAATATCCAAGGCAGGTTAGATTTCTAGCCTTTAATAACAAAGATTTTGAATTTTCCTTGGTAAACCTTTGGGATTTGTTCAGTGGGTCTAAAATGAGATGGACTGAGTTACTGAAAGTACGGATTATGTAGTCATATCTTGTGAACTGTTGGATTTTTGTGAGGAACTGTAGAGCTAATTTGTGGAGAGGTAAGTTAGCTACTTCATGTGGTCATTAAGGTCATTAAGGGGTCAGACCCAAATGTAGATATGAAGGGCTTGGAAAGAGACTGTCTCTTTGAAGAAAAGAATGTCCTCACTTGCTTAAGGGATTGACTTCTTTCATTTGACCTTGGCATTTAAAGCATATACAGACCTTTCAGAACATCATCAAGTAAGATGAGAAACTTTCTGTAGTTTAGTTTATAATTTAAAAATCTGTTTTTGTTTGTTTCTGCTGCTTCAGAAATTGTCCAATGACAATTTTTAATTTTGAGAAATAACAAAATAACCATCAAACAAGGTCTGCTACATTATTTTGGATGGAAGCGCATCATTGCTTATTGAAAGTTGCAAAGGGTAATTTTACAAAAAAAAAAAAAAATCCGGCTGCCTTTCAGCAGTGTAGTTTCCCATGGTAGTTTTTGTGCTTGTGGACAGACCACTTTTCAAACTGTCATCTGCACCTGAAAGATGTCCTTGAAAGGGTCTTCTAGTGGAGGCTGCCCACTTTGTATTTTTGTTGTTGTTCTTTCTAGTAATGGACAAACAAAACAAACACAAAATTGCAGTGACTTGCACCAGCTGATTTTGCTTGTTATTCCAGAAAGCTGCCCCAGAGTAATGCCCGCCTGGCAGCAGACATCACACATCTGGGCAAGAGTCAAAAACCTAATCATCCACTCCTCAGGGGTCTGGTGGAATGAGCCATAGATGTTGGGATCTGGGGAGCAGTGTCTGTGTCCAGGGAGCTTTGGTTTCTGCTAATTCACTCATGCAACAAGTTTTTATCAAGCAGCAACTTGGAAAGTGTAAAGAATCGTCTTTATTGTAAAATTGGGTAGGATGATTCTCCCTACAGATTTGGCTCTGTGGACTGAATGGAAATAGTGTGTGTGTGAAGGCACCTGTTCATGTGAAGCTGGGGCTGGGAGGTGTTGATGGTGTCATCATTCTTAAATGAAAGATAGTCCTTGAAAGTTTACTGTGCCCAGAGCACTCTGTTAGGTGTTTAGGGGATTTACAATGAAGTCTTCTGGTATGACCCTTTAAAGAATTTATAATCTTGCAGAGGTGGTGGTACTGCACAGGTAAAACAGCTAAGTAACAATGCTTGCTTGTTAGAAGGCATATCTAGTTCTGGGAGTCTTTTCACCAGGCACTTATAAGGCCCATTTAACATTATATGACAATACAGGCTTCCTAACAGCAAGGGCCTGGCACTTGGCCAATGTGCCTGCCTTGATGTTAGCTCTAATACAGCTCTGCTGGGCTGGGCATAGTCACTGCACTTGGCAGACATACCAGCAGGTTGGTCAGACAGCTGCTGTAGGGGCTGGAGGTAGGGGTGAGCAGAAGAAATAACCAGAAGCACAAACTAGAGCTTCAATTCAAATTGAGAAAGAGCAGCAGCCAGGCCAAATGTGACTTCACGAACTGAAGGGCTCAACTAGGGCTGAGGTGTTTGGCTAAAAATATAGAGCAGTGTTGTTAATAGTGGCTTCAGCTGAAAGTGAAAGAGGAGTCTTTCTTTATAGGCAGTAGAACTGCATTGCATGCATTGTTCAGTTTTGCATACATCCCGTAGACTTTTGAATATATCCCACACACTTTGGCTTCTATACCATGAGGAAACTTGGTTAGACTAAACTGGGAGTACAAGGTGAATAAAGACTGATCTGTCCCCTCATACTTTCAAGTAATGATGGAGACATATACAGAAAGAGGTATTATGTATGGTATATAGGTTAGCAAGAGTTATAGAGCTGTTAGAGTGTACTGGATTGGTGTGGTGGTAGAGAGCAGCAGGGCATTGTGGGAGTACAGAGGGTTGCCCAAGCCATTCCAGTGAATATACAAAGTAGGCTACTCCTCCCTGAATATTCAGTGACTGTCCACATACAGAAGCCAGCCCTGAAAAGAGCAGCAGCCTCAAACAGGAAGGATAACAGAAGTAGTAATCATCAAATATTTCTTTTTAATTATTTTTTACCTCGTTCTTCATTTTGTGCATTTTATCAACTTGGTTGTAATCCCTGTGGACTTCTCATCACCAGTTCTCCTGTGCACCATCATTATAGTCCTGTGTACTCTTCCCACCCCAGTTTTGATCCCCTTCCCCTCTCTACCCCCATATATGTCTCTAGTTTATAGTTGCTTGTTTTTCATTACAGTTGCTCCCCCCAACCCCATCCCTTATGCTCCTTCTATGAGTGAAACCATCCAGTATTTTTCTTTTTCTTTCTGGCTTATTTCACTAGGCACGATCCCATCCAGCTGGATCCATGTTGCTGCAAAAAGGCATAAGTGTATCTTTTTAAAATGCTGAGTAATAGTCCAGTGTGTATATGTACCACATCTATTTAATCCAGTCATATATTTTTGGGCATATGGGCAGGAGAGCTAAAAAGACACTTCTCCAAAGAGGAAATGCAGATGCCCAACAGGCATATGAAAAAATGTTCAGCATCACTTGTAATAAGGGAGATGCAAATGAAAAACACAGTGAGATCCCATCTCACACCAATGAAAATGGCACATATTAAAACAACTAGCAACAACAAATGTTGGTGAGGATGTGGAGAAAAAGGAACTCCCCTACACT